CGCAAGTCAACCTACTTGACGGCATTTTCATAACGTTAACTTGAAGTGGGGTGATGAGCGCTTCTTGGTACTATTAGATACCATCATGTCTTTCAGCCTGCTATGAGTTTTTCCGATGATTTGCTAAAAGATTCATCCCGAGAGCTGTACTTATTCATCCATAAGTCAACGAGATGCTTTCCCTGTTGCATTTGTATTAGACGCATCAAAGCAGCTATCGAGTGATTTGGGCATAATATCAGTTTGTTTCATTAAATGTTTGGATAATAAGCTCAGGCTCTTGAAACGGATATTTCGCTGTAACGAACGTTTTTGTTACACTGAACGCAAATATATGGCAATCATTCCTATCGAGAAACGTTGAAACAAAAGACCCTCTGCTAACAACTGCATTTACCAATACTTGATGTTTCCTGACCTAAATACGAGAAATACCTGCAGAAACGATTTATTCCACCTTTTTGGCCTGGACAACTGAACCGTATCAACCAGGACGCCAGGAATTTTCGTCCACATATTCAACATAATCCGCAGTACCGGGATGCCTCAACATTACCTCAAACAGTCCATCTATTGATCGGGTGGCGCTTGTCGTTGGGTTGATGCCGTCAAAGCCACAGCATATACCATACTGCACAGCATCTCTCAATTATGAGGGTATCCCGCACGGATATTATGTAAAAGCCTATAAAACGTCAAAAAACCATATGAAATGTCTTGCAGACTAGGTAGTTTTTAGGGTGCAAACAGTCGTTCCACGTTTGCTCACTACGATCGTTGTGAGCGTCCATCTATGGAGGAATAGCTCATCTACACGCATTGTTGGTTGCATATGTTTTGTTTTCATCTCTGAGAAGAAAATCGGTTGAGTAGCAAGATGATTGTGTGAATTGGTCTGCATGTGTATAAAATCAGTGATATTTGCTGCCTGAGAAAATCATTACTAAATATGCTGCCAATGAAGTATATCTATAAGCTGTTGCTGACGGGTATTTATGTATATGTTGTCCTTTCTAAAGACAGGTTATGTTCAAAGCTATAAATTACAATTTTTGACGTTTTTTGTATTTTCAAAAACTTTGAGAACTACGGAAAATCACGTCCGCGCCCGCGTTGTGTGTAATTACTGTTAGCATGTATATGGGTTGTAATTCGACAGTGTACAGTGAATATAATTATTTCTTACCTTCCTCATTATTAAAATTCAGCAAATTTACATATGTAATTTCCAGAATGGATAAGAAAAACTGGATGCGTAACTAATTTCTAGCTTTACCAATATAATGTCAAAAAAAATCGACATGTCACTTTTTAAGATACCTAATATCCGTGTCGCTCATGTCTAATTAGCCACTAATAAACCGCTCATTTCCCGTATAATATTCTGCAGCGCATAGATCAGTGAGGGCACTCGAAACGATATTAGAGACATACCGGCCACGCCCATCACATGCAGGTGGCGCTTCACAAGGTGTTATGGACATACAACAGTCCCACCAACAACCTTAGCAAAAGCAAAAGCGTCCATCCTTTAAACCGGGCTCTATCGTTACCTCCGACATAACAAGGTCAAACAACTCAGCTGCGAAAAGGCTGTGACGTCACGCTAAGTAGGCCAGTTCATATTCTTATGGCGTTGCATCATCCTGGCTGGTAAGAGCGGTGTTGATATATCTAGGTATGATATACCAGTAACGAACTCTCCTCTAATTAGTTATACCTCACTGTGGGCGAAATTGCAAAATATACTCGGGGCCTGCGCAAGCTTCAATGATGATCTGATTATTCTTTCTGATCTGCAAAATGGAATATGTCGCAACATAGCAGTTATATTTATGTTTATATTGTTGTTGCAAACTTATAGTTGTGTCTCGCAGTTGTTTCCCTAAGTTTTCAAAATGCCTTACAAGTGCCGCGTTCGTAATTGTGCCCATAATGACGCGAAAGGTCGGAAGGTTCCGTTACCCGTGAATGAAAACGGGCGCATAAGATGGCTCAGTGCCATCCCTCGTAGTGATTTAGTGATTACAAAAAATACCAGAGTATGCAATTTGTACTTTGCTGAGAACAGCATCATTTGGGACTCCACCAATTGCCCAAAATACTTTCAAAGGACATCTCAAGCAGAAGAATCCGAAATGAAAAGTTGAAGGTCAAGGAACTATGTACTTAAATCACTGCAAAATAGCATTGAGTATACCTGCTAACAAAGTTTTCAAAATTATTCAGGCTTTCGCAGTTTTCAGTTTATGGCAACCTCCAGATGAGTGGCATAAGTTGTTCAGGATAAAGATAGAATATAAGCCAGCTATTATAACACACTCTGTAATTGTTGATAAAGATCTGGATGTAAAATGTACTCCCAAGAACTGACACTCACTCGGGTAATATTAAAGACTCCATTTTTAGACACAGTTACCCCTCAAAAAACAAAAAAGTTTGGCCCTATGTTGTATACAATCAGTCCACATTCATATACATCTATTAGGAGCCATGGAGGACTTACTTTACCACACCAAAATATTCTGAAGTCAATTTGAAATACATTGATGGTCGATTCAGTTCCAGATGAGAGACATAACTTTTTAGGCTATGCAAAGAACCTTTTCAGATATGTAAAACCAGTGAGGAGAACATTATTTTATTGATGCATGAAATACACATTCAGCCATGTTTATATTTCAAAGGAGGTAACATTGTTGGAAGATCAATTAATAATGCCTCATTAGCTACAACAGTGTTTATCATTTCAAGCTTTTATTCTAATTCCAAAGAAGTTGTTCACATCTGATCTGTTTCTCAAATTGAGCGTAATCTATTATACAATTCAAGAGAAGAACTCTAACTTTCTACTGCAGTATCGCCCGTAGCAATCTATTATTTTATTCTCCGCTACATTCTATATGCAACAATTATAGTTCCATAACAGACAGTTCTGACATTAATTTTGATTGTATCAGTAAGATCTTGAGGTATTTCAGGTACTATTATAATAGCTAATTCTGTTTTTTAAGTTAGTTTTATGTATACATTATATGTATTATAAGTAAAGATACCATTATGTGGTCCTCTAACTGGAATAGTTCCGTTGGAATTATATATAAAATAAAAAATAAATAAAAATAAAATAAAAAATATTACAAAAAACTTATTACTGGATTAGAGGAAATAGGTTACAAAATATTTTGTGTTGTGATAATAATGCAATAGTAAAGCAATGCCCCATTTTTTCCAGATGCAAGCATTGTTTATCCGTTAGATAAAAACGTCTTTTCTTCATTTTTGATACAGTGTATCCGCAATAAATGGCTGAATTCAAAACCAAACCAACATTTTAAAATGATTTTGAAAAGCAAGAGGTTAGTGTCGCTTCATTTAAATCTCTTTTAGAGAATGTATCAAATGGAAAGTCATAAAATATTGAAACATAGTAATGGTTTGACCCTAAAAGCTTTATATCATACAAGGCTTGAAAAGATGTTCATTTAGCTCTCAAGATATTCAATCCATTTGTAATAGATGAAGTATCAATGTTTGGTAAAAACATACAGCACTCCGAAGAGGCAGCAACATTTTTATCAAGTTTTCTTTATTCTTTGTTATGTTTTTTTTGTTGTTGTTTTCCTTATTCCTTTCCTAGCAAGGGCTCACCTCAGACTTCCTTGTTTGTTCTTGCTGGACACAACTGTTCAACAAACACTACATTTTTGATGCCTATCATCACGGTAAATTGTCCACATATTGTTATCAAATTTTGTTGAGCGGTTGTGACTAACATTGGGTTATGTATTTCATTGAAGCATTTATTATTTCTAGCAAAATATTGTAAGCTTTTATAACATCAACTTATTACCCAAATGTGCAGGTAATACTGAATGAAATCAGGGTCAAAATACTTAATAACTACGTTAATATTTTCCACCGAGTTGCCTTCATATCCCAAACGCACATTTCTGAATTATTTGTCATTTACATCAAGTAGAGTGTGTTAAATATGCTGCAGTAATCATATATTATTCACTAGCGCGGCTACTGCGTAGTGACGTCACGCGTCTGTTGTCAGGCCTTGTCCAGTCGGTGGTAACGGCTATATGCGTCCGCCGTATTATTGCCTGACAATTGCAATACAAGGCTCGAAGTAATCTTGTATTCACTTAGTGCCTTCATCGCAGCTTGGCTGTCTCTATCTTCTCTTAGAACCTTCCCCCTCCAAGATGCTGGATTTGCAGGCCAGAATCGCATAGATTTCCGCCTGAAAAAAAGAGCCTTGTTCTAGGCCCAAAGACTCCGGCGTCACAGCCTTCTTCCGTAACAGAGCTGTCCATATACCAGACCTGCCCACTCACTTTGGAGACCATCCGGCTTCCGAAATCCCACCCCACCCTCGCCGGATACTCTACATAAAGCAATTTTTATTGGCGATCAGATCACTCAGCTGCCCTGACTCCACAGTCGATGTGGAGGTACCGCCATGTTGTTTGTCTTGTGATAAAATAATACAACTTACAGCAGCGCAATGAAACGTCTGCATATTTGATAACAAAAAACAAACCATTGGTATCAACATAGGCTTAAGGAGTTACATTCAAAAACCAAGGTGCCTAATATTCAAAAAGTTGTACTGCTGTGTACTAGATACGCTGTAAAGCCGTCAAAGCCGGCCCTATGCCAACGCGCGGCACACTAGACCAGTCCGAATCAATTACCCCGTCAAGTAGGCTGTCGTGCCGTCATCGATCGATTGTTTAATAAACAGCCGACTGACGGCATGGCACGGCGACTGCTATGCCTGCCGAACGTCGATCGCAGATTAAAGCGGATCGGATCCTATCAAATTTGCACCAGGTCAAAGGCGGGTGGAATGGAGCAACAGGGAACATTTCGTCTTCAGACAAGCTGAATTGTTTACACTATAAAATGCCAATACAGTGACTCTATGAGGTGCAGCACTTTTATTACACGACCTATGGCAACCTGGCAGCATGCTACATAACGAAAACATGTCTAGTGAAAAATGCATAAAATGCAACAAAAAAGCCGCAAAAAATAGTTATAAGTGTGTGAAATGCGAAAATGTGGTTCATCAAAAGTGTGCAGATGAAGAAATACCCAGAGATAGTGATTTTGTATGTGAAAATTGCCTGGAAAACAACTCGTTAAACAGTTCAGTGACGTCGGAGAATGGCACTATTATTCTGAGCGAGGAACGTAAGACACAGAATGAAGTTGTAATAAGCGATCTTATGAAAGAAAATGATCGATTGTTACGTGAAAATGAACTTCTTAATAAACTCGTAAGTGAAATGACCGACAAAAACAATTTATTGCTGTTCAAAATTGCCATCTTGGAGAAAAACAATAATACTTTGGAAAAACCATGGCAACACCGAAATTCAAGTAAAAATTCAGACGCTCCAACTCAAATGCCACCTAGCACGCATACCGCAAACCACACCACTCAAAATCATACAGCGCCACCTCACGACGTAGCCAAAAGTCGTCGTACTCGCCGCACATCCACCAGATCAACCTCCGTGTCGCCGCCAGTGCTGCCATCTCCTGGTACCAGTGACAACCACCAAGAAATTAATAAGGTTAGGGAAAATAACAAGGTACTGAGCATCGTAGGTGAAGTTGAGCCTACACTAAGCACCGCCGGAGCCGAAAACGGTCTTCAAGGACTTTCAGTTCTAAAGGTAGCATCCCCTACAACTCGCCTGCACCTATCGAACCTAGACGTCAACACAACTGAAGAAATGGTTACGAAATACTTAAATCATCTGTCGACGTCGAACTATTTAGTTGAAAAGTTAAACACAGGAGGAAGTTTTAGCTCGTTTCGTTTAACAGTACCAAACACCGTATTAGATACCATAATGAAGCCCCAAAATTGGAACTGTGGCGTCCGTCTCAAGACGTGGATCTATAGAAGGCCTTCCGGATACGTAAATCGTGACTGGAGGCACAGCCAAAATAAGCGGTATCCTAGCCACAACTCCCAAAAACAAAATAATATAAATAATAGAGACAATAATAATGTTAAACATTCTTTTTAAACGTTCTTGACAACCAAACATGTAAAATTGCTCAAAGAGTTAGCGTTTTTCACTTAAACATTCAATGTTTATCAAATAAAATTGACGAGTTATCCTGTTATTTAGGTGACACAAATTCTGATGCTGAACTTTTATGCCTCTCTGAACACTGGTTGTGTGAGGATCAACTAAAAACGGTTAATATACCAAATTTTAATTTATGCTCTTGGTTTTGTAGGTCAGATCATGCTCATGGGGGTGTTGCCATTTTTGTTTTGGATAATCTTAGAAGTTCTTTTATCCCTGTCGATCTGAAGCCTTATACCACCGAGCTGTCATTGGAATGCTGTGCGACACCAGCGATGGCTTTGGAATAGTCATTCAGTCACATGGCGTGGCTCAAGTCATTTTGTTCTGTTCATTTCAAGACTTAACGCCATATGAACTATGATTTCAAAGGAAATTTATCGAAGTAATTGTATGAAAGATATTGAGTCGGCCTACTCGACAGAAAGCATCAAAAGACTCTGACGAAATCGAAACCTCTCTAGGTATCTGCGATCAACTGCAGTATGTACATTAAGGTCGGATTCATGCGCGACTTAACGTAATTTAATTTAAGGATCAGCTGTTTCTACACCAGTGTCCTTCACATGTTACGCCACAACCATTTTTTGACATGATTCGGGTGGTTTCGGAACTCGCCTTACCCTTAGTTAGCTCTTTCCATTCGGTTTTATGCTTGACGTAATTATAATAATTCTGTAGCGTGTTGTATTCCAGGACGATTTACGGACCAAGCCAGGCTGTGAATCATTCTGTTGTTTTTGTTTGAGTTGTTGGCGAATTTGCCGTAGAGATTTGTTTTGGTGTTCGTTTTCGGGTGTGTTTTTCTGTTTTGGACTTATTTTTTGTGCGATTAATTGCGGATAGCCATGCCTAGAGCAAAAAAACGAAAAGCCGCGCTGTCATTAACACCTGACCTCAGTGAAGAGGTACCTGCAGAAGGCACCTGAAGGCAATCGGACATAGCCAGTGGAGCGCCTAATTATGACGTTGCATAAAGTATGCAAATCAGTACATCTTTGCATATATGACTGAACATATTGAGGTTATTGTCATTTTCTCAATTCAAGGTCACTTCTCAAAATAAAGTTCAATACATTCAACTTTATCTTACGAACCAACCAATCGGATCAGTAGAGTTGGTCAGGCGTTCGCTACAGGTGGAATTAGCAGATGGGTACGAGCCATCGATACTGTACAAACGTCGATAGTCGATATGTATATCCTGATGTACGATCAATTTTATATCGCTGAATGGACAGGTGGTTCGGTGATAGTTGTACTTGTAAGAAAAAAATGTTAAAAATTATAATAAATAAGGGTAGCAGGTTGGGGGCCAAGGGTGAACGAACGACAGACAGACTGTCGAAGATGAGTAACACGGTTTTTCGTTATGTACATACTATATATCATATAAAACATAATATCTCATTTTTGAAATAAAAAACAAAGGTGAAGCGGTGAGCGTGACATCCTTATGCCAGCCATACACGTAACGATATACTTGCGCAAACTTAGACTTGCACAAGTATACTGTAGCGTGTGTTGGAAGATTTTTGCGCAAGTATCTAGACTTGTACAAGTCGCAAGAACGTTGCAATTTTCGATTCCGAGACTTGTGCAAGTTTACGTTTGCGCAAGTTTACTTGAACGTGTGTGGCAACGAGCCTTCGCAGTTAGCGATGTCCTGCTGCTTGGTTGTACACACGCGTTGCGTTGTTCACCACCAAAATGAGTGAGACACGTGGAGTTCGAGAAAATTTGGAAGAATTTATAAATGTGTAGAGAAATGAACCATGCCTCTGGCAAATAAAGAACAAACACTACCATAATAGAGATAAAAAACTGCCGCTTATAAAAAATTAGTAGAACTGTATAAGAAAATAGAACCAAGTGCCAACCGAGATATGATAGTTAAAAAAATTAATGGCTTACGCACCAACTGCCGTAAAGAAAAGAAGAAGATAGAAGAGTCTAGCCGATCTGGAGCAGGCTCCAATGATGTTTATGTGCCAATGTATTATGATTTACTGAAATTTCTCGATGACGACCAAGGAACGCCAAGACCTTCTCGTTCCAACATCGTCGAAGATGATAGTTCTGAAGTAAGTACACGAATGTAGCTATTATATTTTTATTTAATGTAAATATTTACAAGGTAACATTTCTCTGTGTGTTTAAGGAATAAAGTTATCTTGCCAAGGTACACTCCCCTCGTTATTAAAGTAATGTACATACTGTTCTCTAACATTTTTGGCAGCAGTTGCATTATTTCCAGAGTTTCGTCGATATAATGGCTCCATGTTTGTATCATGTGATGTTAAACCTGATGTAATAGTTCCATCTTCTAGGTTTTGGTGATCGAAACATTCTGCAGAACTATATGAATTCGATGACGACATTAAAAAGTTATGCAAAGCACAGCTTGCCATTACCACCTTATCAATGTTCTTGGGTTCTAGATTAATTTGAATTTTACATATCCGAAATCTAGAAGCCAAGATTCCAAATTCATTGTCTACAATGCGCCGCGCTCGAGATACTCGATAATTGTATATCTTTCTTTCGCGAGAATTTAAATCTGCCTGTTGGTATGATTTTATCATATCTGTTCTCAAAACAAAAGCATCGTCGGCTACAAATACATAAGGAAGTATTTTGGAACTTCCTTTTATAGGTTCATCTGACGGGAGACTTAATTGGTGTTTTTGAAGCTTGTCATAAAATGTAGTAGTCTGAAGCAGACCGCCGTCTGATATCCTGCCGTTAACACCAAAGCTGCACATTATAAATTGGTACCTAGCATCCACTATTGCAAGAAATACCATACTGTGTCGACCTTTATAATTATAAAAATAGGAGCCACTTCCACTTGGAGGAATAATGTCTATGTGTTTCCCGTCTATGGCGCCAAGGCAATGTGGAAAATTCCACCTATTTTCAAAATGTTTTGCTATATTTTTCCATTCATCTTCTGTTTGTGGAAACTGAAAGCAAAGAAAGTAAAATAACAATTATTGTTCCAGGAAACCATACAAGCTTCAATGAACAGCGATGTTTTGCCATCACAAGATAGAGATGATAAATCTCCGGAAACAGCTAGTACCTCTACACAAATATCAAGTCGCCCTAGACCACCCAAAAGAAAAAGTAACAGTAATCCTCATTCATTAGATTCACCAGATTTATCTACCGACGTATTGCAAGTCGTAAAAGAGCATTTCAAGTGTCCTTTGTTACAGCAAAGGCTGATTGCTGAAAAAATTATAAACGACTCATTATTTCAAACAGAAATGGCCAACTTGAGACTGCCGCATGGAGACTTCAATGTACGTGAGTTGTATCGCACAACTCCCAGTCCTCCAACATATCAGACACAACAGTTTATTCGTGCAACTCCAACTCCCAGTCATTCAGCACACCGGCCACAACAGTTCATTCGTGAAATCCCAACTCCAAGTCCTCCAATACACCACTCACAACAGTTTAACCAAGGAACCCCAATTCTAAGTCCTCCAACACAACACTCACAGCAGTTCATGCATTTAGGATCAACTCTATCTTCATTGCCACGCATCGAGCAAGAATGTAATGATTCTTCCACGCCTTGCATGCAGTACAATTCGGATTCACAACATTCGACTGAACATACTGAAGTGCAATTATCTATTCCAGAACAATCAGCCGGGGCATTTATATCCAGCTTCAATGATTGTCAATAAATGTTTAAGAATTAAAAACCTTTTACTCACCTTAAAATAATCCTGTCGCAGTACTTTGTATATCGCTTCACATGTTGGACTGGAATAATAACACCCAACGCCTGGGGTGATATTATTGTTGTAAACTTTAGGTCTTCGTAACTCCTTCCAGTTGCGAGAAACCTCAGAGTTGCTGTCAATCTTTCGTGTGGCGATATAGCTTTTCGCATTACAGTATCTTGGTTTTTAATAAGTGGAGTAATCATCGATAGAAGCTTCAAGTATGTTTCTTCGTTCATACGCAGGTAGTTATGCCAGTCTTTGGGTGCAAATTTCAATTCGTTCACTAAATTGATGTGTGATGAATGTTCTCTTTTCATTAACTAGTCCTTACACCATATAGCTCGATGCCTTTTAGATCTTTTCAGTTTTTTTGTAGCAACTATCAAGCCAACTATCGCCATAGCATCATCAATGGATGCCATCGTCGCAACACAACTCGCCTGCTGCATGACTTTCTCAAAAATGATCGGTCAAGTATACTTGCGCTGTGTGTGCTCGAGATAGGATGATGTGTGTTTGCGCAAGTCTAAGCTTGCACAAGCATATCGTTACGTGTATGGCTGGCATTAAATAAATCTCGTTATAGTATACACCACATAAATAAAATAATTCAATTGTTCATTTGTAATATTTTCATGGGTCTACTATTATAATGCAAAGTAGCGGAAGAAGAATATCTGTGACAAGATACTGATATAACATGTTATATTTCCATTTCTATCTATTTTGTAAATAACTTTTAACAGGTAACGTTTTCAGCTATACTTCTAATTTTGTTGCACTTTGGACCTAAAGCTGTGGCAAAATACTCCTATTTGGTTCTGTCACTTTTAAGAGGTTTATCTGTGTGACATGGTTATGGTCTAAGTATGTAATAGATTTATCTTTGCGAAACATTGACCTTGATATTACGAACTTTTTTGATCAGCTGTGTCCCATGCTATCCTAATATGAAAACGTCATGAGTCTTTGCATACGAATGGCCTCTCTTGCTTTGAATAACTGTTATGGCTGCCAGTTCTTATCCCAGAGTATCACCACAGGGTTCCTAGAGATCGATTTTTGCTCCAAGACCGTCACAAATTCTTGATAAATCGATTGGAACACAGACAAGGAAGGGCATTAACAAAATGAATTAAAAGGCATTGCTATCTGGCATTCAGAATTGGTTTACAGCTAACAAATTAACATTAAATTCAAACAAATCTCAATCCTTGACAATCACATTTCGAAATAATAATCAGAATGGTGACCACGCAAAGGTTGTGAAGTTTCTTGGTGTCTATATGGACTCCTTCTCGAACTGGTATGAACATATCAGTCATGTTACCAAATCTCTAACAAGCATAATTCATTTAATTTGCAATTTAAAACACTCAGTTTCACTAAACGTCCTGTTGACCAGTTACCATGTGTACTTCCATAGCAAAATGACATACGCCCTTCTGGCGTGGGGCCACTCTCCCCACATGTACAGAGTATTTGCCCTACAGAGAAGCTGTATCCAATATATAGCAAATCTAAAATATAGAGATCCCTGCAGATCTGAGTTTATCAAACAAAAAATTTGGTGATCTTAAATTTATTGACGATAGAAGATCTTATTCTACTGTGGCTCAGGGAAAATCAGCAGTGATAATTCAACCAAAGGATACCTCTCAGTCCACACTCTGCAATCAAGAGCATAAAGAATGGCGAACTATTGATTGGTTGTATATCCAGTAACGAGAGCATGAAGTTGAAACGAATAGCTGCTGAAAAACTCTCGGATAAATATGAAATTAAAGATGCTATACATTTTTGCCCCAAAAATAAGGATCGCAGAAACGACAGAGAAGCCCAGTGAAGAGAAAATCATTAGTCATATCACTTCTCAGAATAAGGACATTATAGGAGACAACTCTCAGTACAAGGTGTTAGAGATCAAGACAATAAGGAGAGGAAGATTATGACGTCATGCAGAGGTGTAAGTTGTTCCTGGGGTACGATGTTTGCGATGTGTATGATGTGTATGATGTGGTGAATATCAAGAGATGTTTCAACTGCAGTGGCTTGTCGCATATATCCAACCAGTGTAAAAGTCAACGCCACTGCCCGCGGTGTGGCGAAGGTCATCTAGTTAAGAATTGTCAATAAAAAATTATGAAGTGCATAAATTGTTTGAGGAGCAACAATGACAAAAACACAAATTTTGGAATTTCACATGCTGCATGGGATTCCAAATGCCCTAGCTATTTACAAAGGGTTGACGAGTTCAAGTCTAGACTGTTTTTTTTTCCTAATCGCTCAGCTTCTTCTTCCTCGAGTCATTGTAACGATATGCTGAATGCTGAACTCTTTTCAGATGAATATGTAGTTAGCAGAAAAGATCGAAACATAGAGTCACTGGATTGTAGTAGAGGGGGTAGGGCATTAATCGCAATCAGGGATTGGTTAAAACCCTCTGACTTTAACTTAAATTTTATCAGTGAAGATATACCAAGCATTGACATTTGGGAACACGATTTAAAATTAAACATAAATCTGTTTACCTCATTGTAGTATACATACCCCCACACACGAGTGCAGCTTGCTATGAGAGATTAGTCGAGCATATAGAATCTCTGGCAGCGATCTATACATTATATCAATCGGTGACTTCGATATTCCAGAGTTTCTCCAGGATGACAATAGTCAAACTTCTCGAAGGAGTGCAGCAGTTGTATCGTTTACGACACTACTTGATCTTAAACAGTATGACTCTGTATTGAATATTAATGGTAGAGTGCTGGATCTGGTGTTTTCTAAGAGATGCTGTATGGTTGAAAAGGCATATCAGAGGATGTTTGTCACCCTCCTTTATGTATCACCCTAGAAAACAGTATTCGAAATCTTAAACAACACAGTAAAGCCGATAGAACATTTTAATTTCCGAACAGTTAATTTTCTTCTGCTGTATGAGCAAATTGGTGTGGTAAATTCGTATTTTCTGGATGATATAAGAATAAAGATCATGGCTTTGCCTGGCGCATATATATTGAACTGCCTCTTGCATGTCAAGTCAAATCTTGACCTTTATACAAGCCACCATGAAACTCATTCATACAATACCCGGCACTCAGACAACCTGTACCCAAAACAACATAGACTTGCTAAAACGAGGAATGGAGTTAACTAACATGGCATAAAATTTTATAATATTTTACCTAAGGAACTAAGATCACTAGCATACAATGAATTCAGTAATGCTGTGAAAAAATTGCTCTTGTCGGGTGCTTTTTTCATCATTGACGAGTTCCTCAACCACAACTTCTCCACGGATACTCAATAGTTATATTACAAGCTACATTTCCTTTTTTTGCTACTTATTCGAACCATGTATAAAATATTTATTTCAGTTCTATCGCTTACATATACCTAAGGCCTTGATGATATTTTCAAAATACAATATAAGATAGGAGATGCATAGACTTTCTTTCAATCAATTGATTTTTGGGCGGATTCGACAGCTTACTTGCTTGTGATATCCACTTACATCTATCTGTCTATGCGATGAACGTTAAAAACAAAGCGCTAGTCTGATACTCACTAACTAGTCTGAATGGTTAGTAACCTCAGATTCAGAGCTATTACAGCATGACTCTCACCTAGTCCTGAACTACCATCAAGATCCTCAAGAATGATTATAACATACAGAACGACAAGCAAGGAGGAGAGTCTTATTTAGACACAGACCTTAGCAACCAGCAAAAAATATGAATGCTTCATGATAACGTGAACGTTATGGCTACCAAGGAAAATGATTGTTATATAAGTAGTTATGTTCAAAACCTCTGGAAATTCTAGGGAGAGAAACAATTTTTATTATTACAGTCCCAACAGCTATAAAACTTTTACTACTCAGATACGCTATCGCGGAAACCCTTGCGGATGTAGAGTTTTTACTGTATGCTCTATAGTAAAGAATGAAATAGGTCTGCTTAGAAAAAATCAATACTCCTTTGCAGCATAGTTCTGAGGTCAAGGTTCAAGCAGAGTTCATGTTGAGATGTACAAAAGATAAGTGCCCCAGGAAAAAAATAATGATTTTACCAGCCAGTTCTCGATATAGAAAACACGACCCAGTGAAAATGAAAAGTAGAGGCCGACAACATCATAGAAAAAGGGTCCGAGGAGCAATGCCCGTCGGCATATTGGAAGAACAGGTCCAGAACTTCGAACTGCCTCCTCTGTGATAGATGCTTAGAGCTATTAAGAATGGGTTTTCGATTCAATTGGATACCGCTAACCAAAATTGCAATAGGAAGAGGATATAATAGTAGTGGACACAGCATCTTCCCAGATGTATGAACTGAATTTCAGGCCATGTCTTACCTGGGCTTTATACCGGGTGGGCAATTAATAAAGAACGCCGGCTGTATCTCGACAACCAATTTACCAGGGCTGTTGTTTAAAAAATGTATAATAAGATAAATCACTGGCAATCATTGTTAGCTTCCTAAAATGGCCGCTAGGGACCTTGCACCCTAAAAAGTATAAATGCCGTTCCTTCGCAAACATTCATAATCAGCATACATCTGAAATTGCTTCATTCTATAGCATTCGTGTTTTGCGATTTGTTTTGTCAGCATTACTTTTTCGTAGCTCGATCGATTTAGAGCGGGGGGGAGTATTCAAAGTAATTTCAGAAAATAGCTTTAATGCGCCTTTCTAACAAAGTTTAAATTTTGTTAGTTTTTTCATCTGTTAGGTGGCGCTCTATGCCAAGATTGCCGTTCTGCTGAATTTCTTCCAGAACTTCACATGCATTGATTTCATTACGCTTAATTATTCCGAAAGTGTATGATCCTACTCTAGTGAAACCTCGTGCCATCTTCATTCTTCATAAGGTTATTACCAAAAAGAGAATTTGTTATCTTCCTGCAGACACTCGTCAGAAAATTTCTGAAAAAAGAGCTGCAATTAAGCAAGCGAGGAGG